ATTAAGAGTTATGGGGGTGAGTAGTGGTGATGGGTGCACAACAGGATGACTATTTAACATGACTGAACTGTACATTTAAAAATATGAGATGGTAATTTTTATGTTTTTTACCACAGTAACAAAAAAAAGTATTAACTGGTTAATTTAAAAGTATTTAGGAGATAGTTACTGAGAGTCAAGAATTAGAGAAAAGATGAAGGATTTTTATTATGCAAAATACTTTTTGAGTGGCATGAGGTTTTACCATATGTTCAGTTTTATAATTTTAATTTACAAGTAGATGCTTCTAGAAAAAATGAGTACTGTTTTCTTCTGCACATCTTTACACATTTCTAGAACTGAGTTCTGTATCAAAGTAAGAAACAGTTTTTAAAATCTTTGGATTAAGTGATTTGGGGTGAAAACTGGGCTGGGTAAAACTGAGTAAAAGCCACAACTACCCAAAATGTAAATTACTAGCTAAGCATTTTACTTTTTCTCTAGGCATCTCACAGAAAAGGAAAAAATGATTGGTTGATTAATATCTTTTTAATGCAAGTGAAATGGCAAAGTAAATAACCAGAAACCTTCCATATTAAAAAATGATTTTGTATTTTCAGAAACTGACATTTTTTTTTTCAAAGTGAAAATTTCTATCACAAATATAAAACTGAATGACAACAAATGACATGAAATTTGTCCAAATATAACCTAAAATAATCTCATTTTTATGCTTAACATAGATTCCGTTAACTAATATTATGAAATATCTTCAAGTTACCTTGATTCTTATAGCATAACAGTTGTGTCTGTTTACTATATTTTAACTGTGAGAGCTAAGGGCCACTCTGAGTACATTTGGTGAGAATAGTGAAATAAATCCCTAAAGATCCCTTTCCCACACATTATTATAGAAAAGCCTTATGGAATTAAGGATTCCATAGAATTAAGAATTAAATCCATGTTTGCTTTCTAAATCATATCAAAAATCTCAGTTTTATTAAGTATAATCTGCTTAGCCTTGCATAAAATAAAATGCTTAGATTTAGATTTGAGTATGTATACATTGTTTTTTATGAAAATATTTTTTCTATATATATACCAATATGGTCTGCTTAATACTGGCTAATATCATAAAAGACAATATTATTTTCCTATGTGCTTTTTCTGAGGTCATCTAATATTGTATATTGACAGAGATAATAATTTTGTAATTTTAGTTGGTTTCAAAAAAAGGAGCTACTTACAGGTAGGCTCAGTTTTTATTCCCATTTATTTTAAATTGTTAAAAATACTGACCTTCATTTGGGGTAACTTTATGTATTTATACATGGCAATAATTTAAAGTTATATCAGATTCTGGGCCCTGAAAGAAACATTATTGTCATTTTAATTGAGTTATAAAGTAGTTTATATTCAAGAATCTATTTACGTTCAAGAATCTTGCAGGATTGCAGTCATATAAATGCAGAATTTCAGTTTTTTAGCCTAGAGCATCATTTGAACATTTTCTAAAAGGTTGTTCAATTCTACATTTTGATTCCATTATATGTGTAATTAAACCTCTATGCACAAAAGCATTCTCTTATGTACTAGCAAATACACCCACAGGAATCCTCTTCTAACTATAATTTATTTAAACATGTAATCATAGGATTTTAAAACATGCTTTCATTTTTCCAAACTATATGCCAATTTGAACTGCTTGGTGGTAAAATGAAAGATTTTATTACCATTTTGATTTTTTTTTCCCCTCTCTGTGACCTAACAGTGAGTTAAATACGGGTGGGCGGAAATAAAGAAAATCTATTGTTAACCTAATTCCAGTGTTAAACTGTTTCCCTTTTTGAGAAAAATAGAAGAGAATCAAAGATTTGTAGTTATTTATGAATTCCAGCAGAATATGAATGTCTGGGCCTGCTGCAAGATCTCCTGGAGCTTGACCTAAGTAGTAAATAGCTAGAGGGGTGGGTGTGTGTGTGCGCGCGCTTGTGCGTGTATTTGTATGACGGTGTGTGCTTGTGTGTGTGTGTGATGGGGTGTGTGTGTGCTTGTGCGTGTGTTTGTGTGATGGATCATCCTGAATGTTGTGGAGTCAGGCCCCCTACTGACAGCATCAGTCAATTACAGACATTGGCCCTTCTACTGAGACCTGTTCCTTGCATGAGAATCTGTTGGGGACCCAACAGTCTGGTGTTTTGAGCGTGGTGGTTCTTTCTTACACTTTCTAATGTCTACCGGATCCCTTCCACCCGGAGCACATCGAAGCCCTACCAAAAACGCCAGCCCAAAAAACAGCTTACTCAATAATTGGTCTAAGAGAGTCTATCAGTCTTGATTCTGATGCGCCTTAAGAAGACACACTTCCTAGCAGCTATTGTAGAATAGGGATTTGAGGAGGAGAGAACTCATATGAATTGTAGAAAAGAAGGCCAAAAAGCCACTTCTTTCCCCTCGCATGTTGATGTTATATCCGATTCATTCCTAGTTACTAATAATTTGTTAACAAGCTGTGTGAAAACTGCGTTTCGATCTTGGGTGCATAAAAGACTTGAGCGAAGGCTCTGTTACCAAGAAGCCAGACTCGACAGGTTGCTGTGACAGAATAATGCTTTATATTACAGTGTTTGTCTTCTTGGAGTTCACTTTAAGAACTCCAGCACACCTTTTCCATTCACTGGGAGAGAATTTTCAAACTGTCCGCAGACTCACTCCAGGCTAAAGCCAATTATTTTTTAAAATGGTTTAAGGGAGGAGGAGCGTGTGGAGGGAATGCACCTCCTTAAGATCTGCATATTTGTGTTTGGAGAGTGGTGGTTACAACCTTAAACTTCTCCTGGCCCCCGCCTTCCTAGAAATATATTAAAAAATAATAACTGCCACCCCAGCATGGCTGCGCTTAAATTTCCGACTGCCTGAAAATAGCTGCTGGGAGCCTGACCCACCGCTGGGATCAAGGAAAGCACCCTCAGGCCGCGCCCTGCTCCCTTGCGGAAGGGGAAGAGAACCCGGGAGGGCGCCACAGAGCTAGCGCTGCTGCTATTTTGGGCCCAGCTGGGCGGGTGCGTCAATGCCTGCGCCCCTGCGTCACCGCCACCCCCACCCCTTTCCTTCTCCCCGGCTCTCCAAACTCTCACTTTTTCCCTTTCGTTCGCGTGGAATCGCTTCTGCCCACAGGGCGCTGACGCTACCCAGCTCATGCTAATAAGCTATTCTTCCCCCCCCTCCCCTCGTCCCCCTACTTGCACACCCTCACCCGCCACCACAACACGCCCCCACATACACACACACACACACACACACACACACACTCTCTCTCTCTCTCGCACACACTTCCTGGTTTTATTTTTTCTCTTGCCCGCTAGGGCACCGCCGAGCCGCTGCGGCGGCTACAGCGGCAGTCGCAACATCTGGGGGAAACTTAAGGTGGTCACGTAGGTTTTCCCGAGGCTGCAGCGCGGAAGAGCCTGCGGCTTCTCGGGGCAGCCTCCGGGCACTCGATGGCAGTGCCTCTCTCGCCGCTGAGGAGCAGGAGGCGGCGGGAGCGGGCAAAAGGCGGGGCTGGGGGTGAAGATTAGGACTGAGCGGCTCCGGGACTTGGAGAGCTCTCAGGCGCTTTCGGCCGGCCAGTACTGGGAACCTCAGGATGAGGGGTGCATAGGGGTCCCCCAGTCTGGAAGTCAGCCACACCAAGAGGAAGGGGCGGCTGCAAGTCTTCGCGGGCGGGGGGAAGGGAATGCCTCCGAACCCTCCCTCCCCAGGTGATTCCCCCGAACCCTCCCTCCCGGGGTGACTCCCCCTGCTCCACTGGAGAAGTCCCAAAGCCCGGCCAGCTCGGGTCCAGGAACCAGGAAGCGGGCTGACTCCCGGGAGAAGCTGTTTCTTTCCTGGAGAGCGCCTTGTGCCCTCAGTCTGGAGGGTGGATTGCCTTGCGAATCGGAGTCGGCCGAAGCTAGGGCGACTGCGAGGGTGCGGCGAGCTCCGGCCGCCTGCCTGGCCCTCTCCTGGGAGAGCTGAACCCACACACAGTGCGCTTCGGAGAGAGCCAGCCAGCTCCGCCCCCTGTATCCCCGGGTTTAGTCTTGCCCCCTTGGCTCACAGATTATGACTTCGAGAGAGATTATGGCTTCAGAGGAGGGTCGATTTATTTTCCTAAAACTCGTGGAAAGGCAGGAGTTAATGGGCACCCAGGAGTGTCGAAGTATTAGAGTTGGTAAAAGGTGAGACTACAGCACCTTTCTGCAGAACACACCTGTTGCCCGTTGCTCGGCTGCATTGTCTGCGAAAGGAAAGAGGGCGACGCCTCACTCTGACTTTTGGGGTCCCTGAAGGGCTGGTTACGGCTACCCTTGCCTTTTCCCTCCCCTCCCCACGCACCACGTCCTCCCTCGCACAAGAGCCCTGCGAGGAAAGAAGGGAACACAGAAAATAGGCCCTCCTTACTTTCTTCCACTTTGGAGAGTGTGTGTGTTGGGGCGCGGAGGTGGGATATGCCAGAGGAGAAGGCCAGGGACAGGAAAAGAGAGAAAAGGGGGATGCACTGGGCTAGGGAAATCCCACCCCAACCGTAGGAGCCTCTGAGCGCCTCGTGTCATGGGACATCTGTACTCGCTTCCGCTAACGGGGGTGGCAGTCGTGGGTGGATGAGGTTAGGGCGCTGCCAGGCACGCCCCATCTCGTGCGATTCCAGGTGCTGGTACCTGGCCCACGCTTGGGGTCCCTTCCGCCCGGCTTTTGTTGCACCTTCCCCCACGTGTGAGCTGCCGGGCGGCAGCGGTGGCGCGGGGGTTTGGTGGGGGGAAGGTGAGGTGAGATGTCAAGGCGCTGCGGGTTGCGCGGACCTGGGTGGAGAGGTCACACCTCTTTCGGAAAAAGAAAAAAACCTAGCTGGCTACCAAGGTGAACCCTGAACAGTTCCCACCTTAAAATCGGCCCTGCTCGTGACGTCAGGTCGGAAATATACCAAAGCGAGCGCTGGCCAGGAGTCTGGGGAGAGCGGCCGCGCGGCGATTGGGCGGCGGGCCGCTGACGCGCGCTGACGCGCGGAGACTTTAGGTGAATGTTGGCAGCGGCAGCGCGAGCCACATAAACAAAGGCACATTGGCGGCCAGGGCCAGTCCGCCCGGTGGCTTGCGCTAGGCTCCGCGGTCCCGCTCGCCTGCCCAGCCGGCCGCCTTCCCCTGCTCCCTCCCCGCTCTCGGCGCCGCGATTCCCTTCGCCCCTCTCGCCCACCCCTCCCCGACCCTGCCACCCAGACTCCCGGAGGGAACTACACTTCGGCCGAGTTGAATGAATGAAGAGAGACACAGAGAACTCCTAAGTGAGTAGGTGCGGCTGGCACAGCTCGCGTTCTTTTATCCTTCTTTCTTCTTTTGCACGTCTCTTCTTTCTGTTTGTCTGGTGCAGGTTCTCTGGAAGTGGGCGCCGGAGGCGCGGAGCGCGAGTGGGGCCGGAGGATGGGGAGTAGGTGTGCGCAGCTCCAGAGGGCATTTGTCGGAACTCTTGCTTTGCCACCCCGCAGAGGCTTCCTGGCTCCTCATTGGTGGACGTGGAAGGGAGCTTGCACAGTTTGGGGAGCTGCGGACTTGCCCGCGGAAATGTGCGCAAAGTTTTCTCTTAGTGAGGAATTGATTGAGGTCTTTGGACACGTAGACTCCAAGTCCTGTGTATAAGAGGGGCCTGGACGCGGCCCAGAAAGTGACAGGGAGAGAGAAAGTTCTTCAGTTTATGTGTTGCTTGGGAACTGTGTCACCGCGAGTGGACAGCGTGCCCGTGTTTCCTGGGTATTGTTGAGTGAGGAGACGTGGTTGGTAGAGTGACCTGTTACTAAGTTGCTTGAAAATTTCTGGTTTTCACATGTGCCGCGCTTGTTTGTGAGTTTGAAAGAGAGAGACACAAAATATTTAGAGTAGTCCTGAAGCTGCGGAATTACCAGAGGGTTAATATCCAGCACAGGCGTTATCTGTCAAGGGCTGGGGGTGGGGGGTGGTCAGGAGTCCCTTTCTTTCTACTTATTCTGGTTACTCTCCCTCCATGAAGCAAGATTATGACGGGGGCAGGGGGTGGGGGAGGAAAAGAGACTTGGATGTTTGGCTTTCTTTTTCATTAGTAATAAAATTGTCTATGCTCTAGAATGCCTTCCAAGTGGGAACATCTGAAAATTACTAGGACAGAAGAATGCCTTGTTCCAGCAAGTAGGCAGATTGTGCAAGGCTGGATAGGGAAGGTGCTCAGCTTGCTCTGCTGAGAGGTGCTTCTATTGGATGCCAATATTGGATAAGCAGTATTTCCCTCTCTCTGCAACTCACCTAAGATGCTCTTGACAAAATACGGTCCCCTCTTTCCACCCCTTGGCCATTAAAGATGAAAGACATTTCCTGGAAAAGTGAATGCCAATTCACCTGTATCCCCAAACCCAGTGCTCAGTCAGAAGCTCTTAGGAAATCCAGATGCTTCCATTGAGATTGCCTTCAGGGCTCCCCAGGCCTTACTAACATTTTGTAACTTCCTAGGGGTGGAGGGAGAGATTGTTTTTACATTTTATATTCTTGACGTCTACTTTCCTTACCCTCTACTAGATGAAAAGCCAATTTCAGCACAGGGGGAAAAAATCAGGAGAAGGTTCCAATGCTGTATTTTATTAAATCCTAGTTTCTTCTTATTTAGTTCTGAATTAAACTAAAATGGAAATGACACTCCCTCCCACCGCCCCACACACACCCAGCAAAGGGGCTAATTTATTTCATCATAAGTATTAACTAAGTACATGGAATAACTTTCCTCCTTTAGAATCCTCTGTCTGCCAAGATTAACACAGTCCATGGATGAAATTTTCTGTTTCCAGCCATCTCCTGTACACAATTCATTTTAACTGCTAAGTCTGATAAAGGCTACACATTAATTTCTAATTAAACAATCAAGAAGGGCACAGAAGGGCCTGCCTAGTGATACAGATGTCCAGCCAAATCAGTCCAGAAATTCACCCTAAGGCTTCCTGTGTCTTCATTTCAGGGAGGAGATCTGACAGGCTGGGCTCTCCACTGCTCTTCTAAAAATCTTGGAAACTTTGTCCTTCACTGAATTACGACACTGTCCACCTTTAATTTTCTCCAAAACGCCTGTAACTCGGCTGAAGGTTAGTGCCACTTCATTTTTCCCCCCTCCCTTGAGTTCCTTAAACGTCAAGAAATAGGGCAATGCGAGCGATCTTTCCCCGCAAACCCTGTAACTTAAGTTTTTCCCCAACCCATCGCCTTCGGGAACAAGTTTCTCATTGTGCAATTCAACTTCATTTCTGGATTGAGCTCGCTGAACCCGAGCTTCAGAGGAAAGACTCATGGGAATGGGAATGCTCCTGAAAGGGGTGAAGGGGGAGGCGTTGGAAATATCCGGGAATGGAGACCCTAATAACTTTCCAGTTCAGGGTCTTTATTGGGTCAGCTTTTCCTTGCCCCGCACTGTTCCGATCTGCAGTAATCGCGCTCTCCGCCGTTCTTCTCGCGCCCCTTCTCGTTCTCTGACCGCTGCGGGCTGCCGGTGTAGCTCCAGGTGTAGCCGAGCCCGGGAGAAAGTGTTCACTTGACCAGGCTGAGTGTATATTACCCTGTTTCATTTCCAGCCATGCCTTGTGTTCAGGCGCAGTATGGGTCCTCGCCTCAAGGAGCCAGCCCCGCTTCTCAGAGCTACAGTTACCACTCTTCGGGAGAATACAGCTCCGATTTCTTAACTCCAGAGTTTGTCAAGTTTAGCATGGACCTCACCAACACTGAAATCACTGCCACCACTTCTCTCCCCAGCTTCAGTACCTTTATGGACAACTACAGCACAGGCTACGACGTCAAGCCACCTTGCTTGTACCAAATGCCCCTGTCCGGACAGCAGTCCTCCATTAAGGTAGAAGACATTCAGATGCACAACTACCAGCAACACAGCCACCTGCCCCCCCAGTCCGAGGAGATGATGCCGCACTCCGGGTCGGTTTACTACAAGCCCTCCTCGCCCCCGACGCCCACCACCCCGGGCTTCCAGGTGCAGCACAGCCCCATGTGGGACGACCCAGGCTCCCTCCACAACTTCCACCAGAACTACGTGGCCACCACCCACATGATCGAACAGAGGAAAACGCCGGTCTCCCGCCTCTCCCTCTTCTCCTTTAAGCAGTCGCCCCCCGGGACCCCCGTGTCTAGCTGCCAGATGCGCTTCGACGGGCCCCTGCACGTCCCCATGAACCCGGAGCCGGCGGGCAGCCACCACGTGGTGGACGGGCAGACCTTCGCCGTGCCCAACCCCATCCGAAAGCCCGCGTCCATGGGCTTCCCCGGCCTGCAGATTGGCCACGCGTCGCAGCTGCTCGACACGCAGGTGCCCTCCCCGCCGTCGCGGGGCTCCCCCTCCAACGAAGGGCTGTGCGCTGTGTGCGGCGACAACGCGGCCTGCCAGCACTACGGCGTGCGCACCTGTGAGGGCTGCAAAGGGTTCTTTAAGGTGAGCCAGGCCGGGGGCGGAGGCGGCAGGTGGGGCCCCTACTGCCCAGAGCCTCCGAGTGCTTGCTCCGCTGGGGCGCAGGCTCCGGGCCCTAACTGGCCCCCGGCGACTCCCCGGGTCCCTGGAAGCTGCCTTGCCGCCGCCCCTGGGCTGTGGCGGGGGCTTCTGGGTGCCTGAGAAAGGCAAGTAGGAAGGCGGGGAGACCCGGGGTCGCATCTCCACCCGAGACCGACCCTGGCCGCCCCCCGCCTGAAGTTGCTGGAGCTGAGTTGGAAGAGGGTCATTTGCATGTGCTGGGAGCTGTCTTCTTGGTTCAGATTGAAATTGGTTAGGACAGAGAACCGTGTCTGAGCTAACCAAGTGGAACAGAATTCCCTGTGGTCAAATTAAGTGATCTCTTTATTTCGCCATCCTGATTGAATAATCTTATCATTTTAAATAGAGAAGGTCTCTAAGGAATGTAAATAATATGAATGCCCACGAATTTGTATTTACTGAGCGTCTCCTTCTCCTTCTCTTGGCATATAAAACACAGCAAGGAGCGGAAGGTTAGCTCAAATGTTAACGCTATCAATTTTCTTCTGTTAAATGCCCTGGGGGAGGGGAAAGAAAAGAGAGAGAAAGGAAAAAGGAAAAAATAAAAAGGAGTTGTGTATGTGTTTGTTTATGGGGAGGGAGTGTGGACCCTGTTCTGTCAGAAATTGTCCCTGGATTCCCTGAATTGTTGGATTTTCAAGAGAAAAAAAAAATTTTTTTCCCGGCCTATATTGTCTCCTTTTGCAGCGCACGGTGCAAAAAAACGCGAAATACGTGTGTTTAGCAAATAAAAACTGCCCAGTGGACAAGCGGCGCAGGAATCGCTGTCAGTACTGCCGGTTTCAGAAGTGCCTGGCTGTTGGGATGGTCAAAGAAGGTAGGTTGGGACAAACAGCCCACTCCCCAGTCAGTCTTCGCCTTTGGGAAACTGCTGCCCCTATCCTAACCCCGCTTTCTACTTCCCAGAGCCGACTGCTGCCCCTATCCTAACCCCGCTTTCTACTTCCCAGAGCCGGGCGGGGGGAAGTGGAGGGTGTCTCCGGCTTTCTCCCACCCGCCTCTGGCCTCTAAGACCAGGCAGCTGCCTGCCAGCCCATTCTGCCCAAGAGAAAGCCGCCAGGCCCTCCTCGCCTTTAACTATACGACCCATTTGGACGAAGACATAAAACAACCCCGCATTTTTTATGCCTCTCGTCAGTAAAGGCTTTACAAGCAGTGGGGCCCTGAGCTGCCCGATGCGGGGGCGCCCCGGCGGCTGTGGCCTTCCCGGGGGAGGGCTCCAGGCGGCAGCTGGGTCCCGCTCGGGGGAGCCGCGCTCACCCGGCTCTTCCTTTGCAGTGGTTCGCACCGACAGTTTAAAAGGCCGGAGAGGTCGTTTACCTTCCAAACCGAAGAGCCCACAGGAGCCCTCTCCCCCTTCGCCCCCGGTGAGTCTGATCAGTGCCCTCGTCAGGGCCCATGTCGACTCCAACCCGGCTATGACCAGCCTGGACTATTCCAGGGTAAGAAGCTGGAGGGGGTTTCATTTGGACAAAACCGACAGATGGGCAGGACCCCTTCCCCACACCTGTCAGTAACCCCTCAGGCCCAAGGGACAGAGGAGGCGTGCAAGGTTCTGGCTTCACTGCTCTGGGCAGGGCCGCAGGAGACAGCTGGTGTTGCTGGGGGTGTGGACATGAACACAGGAAAGGGGAAGGAAAAGAAGATGAGCCACAGTGGTCAAATCTCTCTGAGGCCCCTCCCCAGTACCTGGGTGCACACAGGTACTCAACACACCAATGCCTCTGATGCCCAAACCAGAGGCGACGCTAAAGCCCCCACTTGGGTTCTAGCCCCAGTCCTCCATGGAGAAGCTTGAACCCCCGCCTTCTCTGGTGCTGTCAGGGAGAGGGACACCTGCTTGGGCTTGGGGAAGGGGAAGCAAAGGGGTGTCAGGAATGGCAGTGGGTGGGGGAATCAAGTGGTCAGATTCCTCTTTTACCCCAGCTATGAGGAATGTGTGGACTTTAATTGGAGGAAGTATGCCGGGCAACCTAGACGGCACTGCAATTTTATTAAGATTTGCAAAGGGTGACTCTGCTCAAGACCCACTCCGGGACTGGCATGAATACTAACGTGTCAATTGTTTTGTGGAGATAAGAGTGAACATTTCCCAGGGCTGGTTGGCACTGTATTTAGTCTGTATGAAAATGGTAATTTACATATTTAAAGCAGCGACCTCATAGCACCATCCCTAATTGAATTAATTGCCCCGGAACATCTAATTTCCTTACTGGTCAGAGAGAGGTTTAATTGTTATAAAAACCTGGCTCCCCTACTAGAAATGAGGTTAGCAATTTCACGGGTTATATATTTTAGAGAACCTCATTAAGTGCTTTTTAAAATGAAATTCCAGTTCCAGGCGAACCCTGACTATCAGATGAGTGGAGATGACACCCAGCATATCCAGCAATTCTATGATCTCCTGACTGGCTCCATGGAGATCATCAGGGGCTGGGCGGAGAAGATCCCGGGCTTCGCTGACCTGCCCAAAGCGGACCAGGACCTGCTTTTCGAATCGGCTTTCTTAGAACTATTTGTGCTGAGATTAGCCTACAGGTAATGGAAGGCTGGGAATGAAGGAAGAGAGGAATCAAGGAAAAGAAAGAGGAAAAGGAGAAAAGGGGTGGAGGGAGAAAGAGAGGAGAACAGATGTGAAATAAAAGAGAAGATAGGAAGGAAAGGGGAATAGATAAAAGGAAGAGAAGGGAAGCAGTGAGCATAGAAGCCTTATATGAATGGAGAATGGAGGTGGGATAGGGGGCGTTCTTGATTGTTATGAAATTAAACCCTTTCAAGGTCCACTGGTCTACGTTTTATTAACTCTTGGGTAATTAGGTACCTCTTAAATCCCTCATTTATTGCTCTTCAAGTAATTAGTTGTTTAGCCTTTTTTTTTTTCTCTCTCTCTCTCTCTTTTTCTCCCCTCTCTCTCTTTGGTATTAATTGCAGGTCCAACCCAGTGGAGGGTAAACTCATCTTTTGCAGTGGGGTGGTCTTGCACAGGTTGCAATGTGTTCGTGGCTTTGGGGAATGGATTGATTCCATTGTTGAATTCTCCTCCAACTTGCAGAATATGAACATCGACATTTCTGCCTTCTCCTGCATTGCTGCCCTGGCTATGGTCACAGGTCAGTACCAGAGGCACAGGGCATTTCTCCTCCTGAACTTTCCTTTCCCGCCGATCCTCCCTGGTCCTGGCAGCTAGCTAACTGCTTAGTGCATTCCTCTTTTGTTTCTGATTGTGTTTTCTGCAGAGAGACACGGTCTCAAGGAACCCAAGAGAGTGGAGGAGCTGCAAAACAAGATTGTAAATTGTCTCAAAGACCATGTGACTTTCAATAATGGGGGCTTGAACCGCCCCAACTATTTATCCAAACTGTTGGGGAAGCTCCCAGAACTCCGTACACTTTGCACACAGGGGCTACAGCGCATTTTCTACCTGAAACTGGAAGATTTGGTACCACCACCAGCAATAATTGACAAACTTTTCCTGGACACTTTACCTTTCTAAGACCTCCTTCCATGCACTTCAGAGAAACTGGAAAGAAACCTAAAACTGTCCAGAGGGGGCAAGTGACAAGGGCAGAGAGATCCCCCTGAGCTGTCTCAGCTCTAGTCAGCCCCCTCCCCTACCATACACCCTGACCCTTGATCCCTAAACAAAAAGAAAAAACAGAAACAAACAAAAAAAACAAAAACTGTTGCTATTTCCTAACCTGCAGGCAGAACCTGAAAGGGCATTTTGGCTCCGGGGCATCTTGGATTTAGAACATGGACTACACACAGTACTGTGGTATAAACTTTTTATTATCAGTTTAAAAATCATTTTATTGTTCAGAAGGAAGATTGCTAATGTATGACGGAAAACATTTGGCCACGTTTGGTTGTTGCAGTTAAAATAAATGTAATACACATACACACACACACACACATTGTAAGGGGACCCACAAGTATTGCCCTTTAAAAGACTTCAAAGTTTTCTGCTGTAAAGAAAGCTGTAATATATAGTAAAACTAAATGTTACGTGGGTGGCATGAGTTGAAGAAGGCAAAGGCTTGTAAATTTATCCAATGCAGTTTGGCTTTTTAAATTATTTTGTGCCTATTTATGAATAAATATTACAAATTCTAAAAGATAAGTGTGTTTGCAAAAAAAAATAACTACACAAAAAAGGGACAAGCATGTTGATTCTAGATTGAAAATGTTATAGGCACTTGCTACTTCAGTAATGTCTATATTATATAAATAGTATTTCAGACACTATGTAGTCTGTTAGATTTTATAAAGATTGGTAGTTATCTGAGCTTAAACATTTTCCCAATTGTAAAATAGGTGGGCACAAGTATTACACATCAGAAAATCCTGACAAAAGGGACACATAGTGTTTGTAACACCGTCCAACATTCCTTGTTTGTAAGTGTTGTATGTACCGTTGATGTTGATAAAAGAAAGTTTATATCTGGATTATTTTGTTGTCTAAAGCTAAACAAAACTTGCATGCAGCAGCTTTTGACCGTTTCCAGAGTGCTTATAATATACATAACTCCCTGGAAATTACTGAGCACTTTGAATTTTTTTTTAACGTCTAAGATTGTCAGTTAATATATTATTTTATGTTTGAGTAAGAATTTTAATATTGCCATATTCTGTAGTATTTTTCTTTGTATATTTCCAGTATGGCACATGATATGAATCACTGCCTTTTTTTCTATGGTGTATGACAGTTAGAGATGCTGATTTTTTTTCCTGATAAATTCTTTCTCTGAGAAAGACAATTTTAATGTTTACAACAATAAACTATGTAAATGAACATAATTTTGTCTTCTTTCTGGGTTAGGTAAAAATGATTACTAAAAAGCAATATACAATAGACAGAATTGGAGATTGATTTGGGATAGGTCATTTATTCAACATTTGAGTTTCAAACTGAGAGCCTAGACCTATTCTGGCAAAATGAACTGGAAAATTGAACTAATTATCCAGAGAATTCAGAACAACATTTTTCCTTAACCAGAACTTTCCAGTGTGGCAGCATGCACTTATCAGAATCAGGTGAGAATATCTCAACTATTCTATTAACTTTGCTCTGAAAGCTAAGTGCAGCTTTCATAGGAGAAGTTCAGAAGACCCAATAGCATTTGAACTTTTCCAGTTTTGAAGTCCTGTTGGGTTTTTTGTCTTGCATAATGTTTAGAAAGTATCTTTTTAAGACTCAGTCTACACGGATTTGAAGTGTATTGTATATAATCTCTGGTTTTTTCCAATTTCTTGTAAAGGGTCTTGGAGGAAGAGTCGAGCATTTTGGTCCCTTTGGGTCAGTGGTCTTTGGCATAGAACAGAACTCAGTAAAGACATTTCTTACAACTTTTTTCCTCCTTCAGTGAATAGTGATGAGGTTCAATTTGCAGTCTTAGAATAATATACCTGTCTTAAAAGTTTCTTGGATAAAGAATAAGATATCTATTTGTCAGGTTCTGGTTCTTTTTAGGTACAAACAAACTATGCCACAGTATCTAGGCTTCCACTCAGGACTAACTTTTGGCAAAAAAAAAGTAGTAAAGTCACTTTTGGTCTCAGTTTCCTCTCAGTGACCTGGAGGTCCAGCTAGTCATAAATTCTGGAAAGTGCAGGATGGGGATGATTTTCTTCCTTGATCCTAGTGAGTTACAGATGGCCTCCTGGTCACTGAAATTGACAAAAAGTTATTATTTTTAAAATGCAGAGTTAGTAAATTGCCAGGAGAGTTCTTAGGTTTTATTTTTAGTTTACCTTTGCTTACTTTTTTTTTTTAAAGACATGTTTTGTGGGTCTAGCAATAGAGAGAAGGCAGGTCTCCATGATAATTTGAGGTTATTTTCATGTGATGCGCTACTCTACAGGTAACTCTGAGAGGCAAAAGTTGGTGGCCACATAAAGAGATTAAAAACTAAGCGGAATGTTTGACGCCCTTGCTTTCTTGAAAAGATGAGGCTTGCCATTTCCTTTTATTTTTTCACAACTTCTGCCCACTAACAAGCAGAGAGAGAGAAAGCTCTTTAGAAATGCTAGGAGTCTGCAGAGCCGTCAGCAGTCTTCTCCCAGGTGTCTGCAGCCCCGAGACAATTACATCCCGACTCGGAATCCTCCAGAGTTAAACCCAGAAACGAACTCAGTTGCCGCTTCTCCCTTAAGGCAGCGGCTGCGCATCACCCGAGGCCAGTGGGTATCAGGTAGTGCGCCTCCCGAGAATTTGGGGTGAAAGGAGGGAGGGGTGACTCCTGTGTCCGCTTGCAGACTGAACCGGCTCCGCGTATATTTGGTTGTAATTCCTAAATGGAAAAGTGGCTAGTGCTTTTTCTGCTTCACAGTTACCGAGTCCGTTTCCAACTCCCCGCTGCGCACCGGGTTGTGCGGGGGAGCCTCGGGGTATCTCCCCTGCTGCTTCCGGGATCCGTGAGGTTGAGGACTTTGTCCTGGTCTTTCTAGGAATAAAGGCCAGGAAATCAACAGACAGGCTGTTTTGCCAGAGACAGACGTTGTGTGGAACTTCTCTAGAAAGAGATGAAAACTTTATAATGGGGGCTTCGTATTACCCTCCCCTTCCCAAGTCCTCTTAAGAATTTCAGTTGTTGTGTGTCGTTTCAGCAATGAAAAATGTTTTATCATTGTTAGACGACATGACCAGACACTTCTCAGCTCTGAAAGAAGGTCTAATTTTTTAGTCTTCACAGTTTCTAGACCCACGGTGAAGGGTTGCTTAGAATGCCCTGAATTTATGGAGAGTTGCCCTTGACACCAAACACGGATGAGCAGCGCTACCGCCTGTTACGTGGTGGGCTCCGCTTCTTTACCTTCCAGGCGACTGCCGAAGTCTCTCGATCCGACCTTGCGCTTTCGGAAAGAGATCAAGAGAGGGAAAGTGTTTGAATTTCTGGTCCTGATTCTAACAAGAGAGATAGCCTGGTCCCGGAAGCTGATAGCACCCTGCAGTGACAGCGGCACCCAACGACCTTATCCTGTGTATTTCTTTTTGCTGCTCCACTCCATCCCTCGAGAGTCCGATGTGCCCCCTCCACTAAAAAAAAACTGATCATAAGTCTTATGGGACGCTGGTTCTCAGAGTGCAAGGAGCCGGACAAGGAGAAGCAGATATTCCTGCCAACTTAAGAATGTCGCTTGAAGGTTCAATTTCACTTTGCTATGAGACTCTCTTGGCTTTATTTGCGCTTCAACGCTAATAGTCAATTATCTAATTGTATTTTAAACCTAGGCATCGGCAGTGAATACTTTCAAGATTTACTTCACAAAGAAGTCTGTGAAGGAAAAGTTTCATTTCACTGTAACACTTTGGTCAGAGTTTTCCAGTTAAGGGTATATATATATATCCATCCCCCCAGGCCCTATCCCGGATGGCAATTCAGTTCAGTTCAGTCGCTCAGTCGTGTCCGACTCTTTGATACCATGACACTTTTCCAAGCTTCTCGAGAGTTGCGCATCTGTGCGCCACCATCTCCCTGCTTAACTCCGTATTTTCGTGGGTTTCCTTTTTTATCCGCGGCGCGGCAGCGCGGAGGTGGCTGCGGAGAGTGAGGGCTGGGGTCTCCCCGTCCGGCCTTGCGTCTCGGTGTGAGAGAGGTGCCTGTTTCTGTTTCGAAGCCGTGTTGCCCGCCGTCAACTCAAAACTGGAGACAGGTTCTGTTAAGGTGGGCGGGGGGGGGGGGGGGGGGGGGTTAGAAGGTATCTAGTCCTGCGGATCTAAAAACTTGTTTTTTTCCAGTTTTATTCTGTCGGCTGAACAAGAGGTCTGGGAGTCAGTATCTCAAACCTTCTCCTCCGAAAGGGGTTTTAAGGCTTCCTCCAGCTACACCTGTGTCCGCTATTCCTTTGGGAATAGGAACGGTCACTGGGCGCGCCTGGAAATTTCTCAGCCGTCTAAGTCTCCGGTGCACACCGCGAGTGGGACTTGACTCGCTTTTAGAGTCTCACGGGGAGGGATGGAGTTCGGGGTCCCAGCCAACGCGCAGTCAACCGACCCATCCCCTGCCCCCCAACCTCACCCCGAAATGGGTCTCAGCCGGGACTAAAAGGAGCGCATCCGGTTGTAACAGTCTTCGAGGAAAAGTTCTGCCTAGCTCTGTGCATCTGTCAGAACTCAACCAGGGGATCGCGTTTTGCGAAGCTGCGTTTTTTTTGGGGGGGGGGAGTTTGTCAGTTCAGTCGGTACTGGCTGACTTTACTAGTGAAGCGAGATAAGAATTTCAAACAGGGCCGTCATTTTCTGGTAATTCGTTTTTAATAATAAAACAAACACATGCAAATCCGCTTTTCATTTTTACTTTTGAATTTTACCAGAAATCCCAAATTGGATATTACGCATAACCATTTAGGATGGCGAGGCTGTCATTTAAATCCATTTTCACTCGGTCTTTCCGTTTCCTGAGCACGGCTGGAGATGACAGCTGGGGCTCGCAGGATCTTTGCTCCGACTTTAATTTGGTGCTTCTTTAGGGAAATTCCCGCTTCCGTCCGAGGGCGCTTCGCGGAGCATGACAACGGGGCCCCACCCCACGCCCGGGGCGTAAGGAAGTGGCTGCACCCCTATCTCCTAGCCGCGACGTGCGCTCCCTGCCTACCAGACAGAGGCGGGAGAACTCCGAAGAACTAGACTCCAGCCGCTAACTCCCCACCCCACGCCTTCTCACTAGGCTCCCCTCCCAGCGTGGTCTGATTTTGAGGTCCCAGGGTTACTGAAGAGATGCATCTCTGTTTGTGGTTCGGGGATGCGAATGTGGATAGGCACGCGCTCCAGCTCTGCCCGCTGCGTTTTGAAGACAGGATTTGACTCCGCCGGTTGCACCAGGAGACTTTGTCCGGGGAGCCCTGGACCAATTAGAACGAACTCGCCCGGGTTAACTCTGTTTCCTCCGTTTCCTGGCCTGCCCTCCCCAGCTGCTCGCAGCTTCTTTCCCAGCTGTTCCGTGTCCCCCAGGGCCGGAGGCAGCAACAGGTTCCAGTCGCCGCGGGGCCAGGTCCCGTGCGATCCGGCGAGAGCACGTGCGCCCGAGCGTGCCCCCCGGCTTTCTCTGCACCCACAGATCAGTGGTCAGCCTTGGGTCTCCCCTAGTTGTGAGCGGGGCTGGAGCGTTCATTCACCCTCACACTGGGGAAAACCTTGTTACCTAGTTGTGGAGCGCACAAATAGGCGTGGCAGAGGAGCCAGGACGCGAGTCGGAGGCGCATCCGCGCTGCGAGCCACAGAACCCGGGAACGTCCCCCTCCCCCGCCCCGCACCCACCGCACACGTGTGCCCCGCGCGTGTGCTCTCCACTCCGAAGCTCAGAGGAGTGATCGTGAGCATCCGGCTCTGCTTTCAGGGCTCCTGGCACCACAGGTTATGAGCCTTGGGCCCGCGCGCTGCGGGATGCGACTCGTCAGGTAGCCAGAGGATTGCGGCGCCTGAAGGGGCCTCAGGGTTGCCGGTCCGCCTGTCTGCCTGCGGCGTGAACCCTTCTTCCTCCCCTGAAGACGGCGACTGCGGGGTGCGGGCTGCCCTCGGCTCGATTTAGCCGAGCTCTGTCGTGCTCAGCTGGACCTGACAGACAGCCGAGCAGGGACCAGGAGAGTTGGAGAGATCGGCCTCCACGCTTTCCGCCGCGTTTCTTCTTCCCCCAGTTGATCTCTCTTACTCCTGTTTCTCTATATTCCTATCTGAACTTGTTTTTAGAGCAACTAGAATTTCCAGGATACGTGCGACCTGTCCTAACAACCAGAGTGTCAGAGTTTCTGATAGAGACTCCCCAGGGCAGTAGAGGGTGGTCGAGGGGCAGAACTCC